AGCCGCCGGTTCCGCCAGCGCTGACCCTGCCCGGTCCCTCGGCGCGGGGCCGTGTGCGAGCCCTGGCTGCGGCGTAGGCCGGGAACGCTGCTCTGCTCCGGAACGCTGCCTTGCCAGGGCACGCCGCGCTCGCTCCAGGTGTTCTCCCTTTTGCTACAGCCCCGGGACCATGGCACACACGCTCCTGCCTACTGTTAGTGCCATGCTGCTGGCAAAGCAGGGAGGACAAGACGAACACACCAGAGAAAGGCGAGGGAGAGTGGAAGGTGCGACAATGAAAGTGGGCAGACGGGGGTTAAGGAGAAACCGAGCTCCGCAGGAGAGCAGAAGGGGCTTGGCTGGGCTCGGATGGAGCTGCAGCACCGCTGCTCTCTGCTCTGTGCACAGGGGATGTGACCACAAGCCTTGCACGGCCCTTGTGGCCCCTGACAGGATGGGTTTCCATCTGCCACGGTGGCCAGCTGAGTTAGAGGTCTCTAACCATCTAGAAATTCATCTATGGCTCTGTCTCCCTGCAGAGAGGCTCAAACTCAGGCATCCATTCATTCTGCATTCCACTTCTTCAGCCACGTGGGATCTTTTTCCACAACACTCCCTTGCATTTTGCATCAGCCAGTACTTCAACCGTCTGACTTCTAGCTTGGGCTGTCTGCACAGGTATTACAGATCCTGAGCAGGAAAGGGAGGACCATGTAACACCCAAGGACTCCTCACCTAGTGGCCACTGCCAGTGGCAAGAGCCTAACCCCAGTGAAAACAGTTGGGATTAGTCACAGCTCTCATCAGAGATGCAGTTTTCTATGTAAAGAGGGAAGACAAGTAACCATCTGTTACTCCTAAAGGGTCATACCTCGCTGGCAGCCAAAAGCCTAACACTAAAAATACTTTACCATCACCAGCTCCTCAGAGACAGCAGGAAATGTAAAAAGTCACTGCCTCTCCACCTGCTAAACCTCCCAGGCAAGGCCAGCAGTAAAGAAGGGGCAGTGAGAGGTCACAGTTCCCTGAACCAGACTGAGCAGAGAGAAGGGACGGGCACTGGAGAGAAAAGAAGCATGGTTCAATGCTCACATCTCTCTAAGTGGTGGGAGATCAGGCAGCATGGTGTTTCTGTGCCAGCATCTGCTCCAGCTAATAATGGCAGTGACAGGACATAAGCTCATGTCAGCACATGCAAGATGGGGCCAGAGAGGATTAAAACTTTGAAACCAAAAGTTCTGAAACATCTTTAAAAAATCCTGTTAAAAAAAATCCTGCATGGGACACCACAAAAACTGCTTCAGTCCTGGAAGTACCCAAGGCTTCTGGACAAATGATTTCCTTGACAAAGCTCTGATGAGAATATCACCCCTGCCCAAGAAAGCAACAGTGCCAGGGACAGCTCACACCAACCCCACTACAGGTTAAAGACCCTCTGCTACAGCACTGTCCCACAGCTGCTGCAAGCCACAAGCCTGGTACAGGGGACACCAACATGCAGAGTGAGCGTTTTTCCTTGGACAATGGAGAAATAACACAGAGAACACCAACAGCTGTGGCTTAGGAATGGTATTCCCTGTATTAGTGTTCCCACTCAAATATTCAAAACCACATGCTGCTCACTCACTCCCCTCCTGTCCCTCTCCCCCTGTGGTAGGCTGGAGAGGAGAACTGGAGGCACAAAAGGTAAAGATCATGGTTTGCTATAACAATTTACTGGAAACAGTAATGAGATAAGAAAACAATAACAACAACAATATTAAAAAGTGTAGAAGAGAGGCAAAGGATTCACACACATTTGTTCACCACATGTAACATGATGTTATTCCCACCGCTCGCTTCATGCAACCAACAAGGGACCCCTTCTCCCCATCCCTCTTCAGCCCCTCTCCCCTGCCACAAACCTTCCCCTTTGCCCACATGCATCATGTATAGAATAAGCAGGGTCCTGGCCACTGCAAAAATTAACCCTGTCCTACTGCAACCAAGACATTGACATTCAGCACTACCAGAATACAGCAGTCTGGTCAATTCTTCTTGCTCCTGTTGGTGAACAGGCTGACTTTGCTAGCAGATGCCACAGACAGAGAAGGAGATTCCAGCTTCACCTTGTCCAGCAAAGTTTTCTTTATGGCTGCTGGGGAAATTTTCTCTTGGTCTGCCAAATGCTGCAGCTCCCTGCAATGGGGCAGTGGGAGAGGAAGACATAGAAAAGAGAAGATGGGGAGGGTGGGGGGCAAGTCTTGCAAGCTCTTTAGGACTTCCTAGGTACCCACCTTGTCCGGATACAGGAAGCCTCCACAGCATTGATGAGGAGTGAGCGAAAGCCACCACTCTCCAGGAAGTGCAGGGCATGGATAGTGGCTCCCCCAGGTGAGCAGACATTGTCCTTCAGCTGACCAGGATGCTGCTCAGATTCTAACAGCATTTTGGCAGCACCCTGTAGCAAGGAAAACACCTCTGACTGAGGAAGCTCCCTGTCACACACTCCTCCCCTGCACAGAGCAGCACCAACACTCCCAACTGGCATACTTATGCTCCTGCTCCTGCAGGCTGCCAAAACACTTTTCAGAGCTGATGAAACCTGCAAAAGAGCAGAGTTTCCCAGGCCCCAGCTCCCACACCACCACCAGCGCCAGCAGATTGCTGCGGACACTTCCTACAGCGCCTCACCAGGAATTTGTGTGCATTCAAACCAAACACATTCTTTAAAGTAAATTCTGTGAGAGGACCAAGATCATTTAAAACTGTGATGTGTAGATTTCTCTGAGAAGGCACAGACTCAGATTTGTTATGCAGGAGGTAATACTGACCAGCAAAGCCTGTGCTCCAAGTCGGACTGCCAGCCTGCGGGGAAGGCCCATCTTTACTCCTCCATCCGCAAGAGCATCCAGGGCAGTGAATGCCTGAGACCAGAGAGAGCAACAAGGTGACTGAAAGACTCTGCTCCAGGACTAGGAAGTCTCAGAGAATCCAGGGCTTCAGGATTATTCTGTGACTCCTATCACTTAGTCTTGACAAAAGCCTCCCCCTCTCCTTCATGGATGCCACACCAGGCTTCCCTCACACTAGTTCCAGCTCAGAGTAGGGGGAATGGGAGAAATTCAGCTTCTCCATCATGCAAACTGCAGGCCCAAGTTTTGAAACATGGATGCATGGACACTGCACACTGGCTATGGACTTCAGACTCATCTCACTGGTAAAAAAATTTTCCAGCTGTCCCAAACTGGACACCTGGATACATGTCCCATTGCAAATGTGTGTGATGGGGAAAAAAAAAAAAAAAAGACAAGCTGAAGATGCACAGACTTTATGGCAGGCAAAGCCAACTGCTCTCCCCAAGACTGCCACTAGCTGAGGAAACAGCACATACATACGCAGGGCCACTGCCACTGAGCCCCGTTACAGCATCGATGAGGTCCTCTTCCACCTCGGTGCAGAAGCCCACACTGGCCATCAACTGTTCCAAAAGCTTCCCATCTTCCACATCTGCATGAGTTCCAGTGGCATAGACTGTAGCACCTTCCCGGACTATCACAGGGGTGTTGGTCATGCACCTGATCACTTTTGGTGTGGGGCAGAAGGTAGAGAGTTTCTTAGGGCAGAAAATCATTGAAGATAGAAAGTATGAAAAAAGAAAGAAGGAAGAAAAATGAATTTAGTGCATGTTTTTTATCCATGGGCTGTGTAGGAAAAGATCCCCCAGGGGCAAGAACAACACAAGAAGAAGGAAAAGAGACCCGTGTATCTCAAATGCCCTGCTTTGAGCCACAGCAGCCCATCGGTGAATGTGAAGCTTTCATCAGTACCAGCAAAGCAGAAGCTGGGCAAAGACAGGCTGGAAATGGAATCCTAAAGGCGTCAATCCCACATCAACCCACAGATCTCCAGAACAGCTCCTGCAGACACTTAGCATAAAATCTGCAGAAATTCAGGGGAGATGACTCACTGCTGTTAGAAGAAACATGATCGGACAGCACCTCATGTCCGGGAAGATCTGGATAAAAGCCCTATTAGCATTTGCTGATGAAGACAGGCAAAGGTGACTGAAAAAAAGTTGGCTGCTGCTGCTGTGTGACTTTAGTCCTGAGTAGCACAAGTAACGTCTGTCCCTTGCATCGGCTCCTCGGGGTCAGAGGAGTGGAAGCAGCCCGTGGCCAGCCTTGCAGGGCCCGGTCCCCTCTCACCTTCTCGATGGAGCTGATGGTGACGCCGGCCGCGCAGGAGACCACGATGTGCCGGGGCTCGATGTCGGGGCCCACCTCCTCCAGGATGAAGGGGATGATGGGTGGTTTCACGGCCAGGAAGAGGACATCGCTGCTCTTCACCGTGTCCTTGTTGCTCACCGTGAAGTTCACTCCCATTTTCTGCACCGGTTTGGGGAGAAATGGGACCGCTCAGGCTCGGGACGGCCCGGGAGGCGAGCGCCGCCACTCGGTCCCCGCTACCCGAGCGCACTCACCCGCAGCCCGCTCACGGTGGGCAGGTCAGTGTCCGGGGAGCTC